TTAAATATTTTAACATCTTTCCATAGCTAGCTCTCCCATCCTGTATATTTATTTTCACCTCAGTTTTGAATACATGGACACTTTTTGAGGCCACCTGCCTGTAGTCCCATCTTCTTGGGAGGGTGAGGAGGGAGGGTTGCTTGAGCCCAGGAATTCAAGGCTAGCATGGGCAACACAGTGAGACCCTGTCTCAAAAGCAAAACAAAGCCAGGCACTAATGGCTCACACCTACAATCCTAGCTACTTGGGAGGCTGAACTCAGGAAGATCACGGTTCCAGGACAACCCAGGCAAAAAGTCTGAAAGACCCAATCTCAAAAATACCCAACACAAAACAAGTGATGGAGTGCCTGCTTCACATGAGGGAAACCCTGAGTTCAAGCCCCAATACTACCAAAAAGAAAAAAACCCAAAAAACAAAAAACCTAAAGTACCCCAAAAGCCTCTAGAAACACTTAAAAACATATCAACTACTATAGTAGGTTAAAACAACCACTACAGTATAGGCAAAATAGAAACTAATGACACTTGCTTTTCCTTACCTCAACTGATCCAGCAGCTTTTCAGTTCTATTTATTTGATTTTGTGCAGAGTCTAGATGAGCAAGGGTCTGCTTTTTCTGAACCTCCAGTTCTAATAGCTTTCTGAAAATAAAATTAGGTATTCACACAAAGATATTTATTAGAGAATTCAGACTATTAAGAAAATGGTTTATGATAAGAAGTCACATGCTAGATGGCTCCCAGTGAGGTAATGTTTTGTTTTTTTTATAAGCATTAATTAATATAAAAGTAGGTCTACTTAGAAGAGTATAAAACATTGTCTCTCAAATTAGGATCCATGAAGATATCTTTTGGGGTTCCATGCATTTTAAAATAATTATTGAAAACTACATTATTATTATTATTATTATTATTTGCAGTATTGGGGCTTGAACTGAGGGCCTGTATCTTGAGCCACTCCACCAGTCCTTTTTGTGGAGGGTTTTTTTGAGACAGGGTCTCACAAACCATTTGCCTGGGCTGGCTTTGAACTGAGATCCTCCCAAGTAGCTAGGATACAGGCATGAACCACTGGTGCTCAGCTTACTTTTTTATTTTTTATGATACAAAATAAACACAATGTAGATCATAAGGATGCCCACAATAAAACTACACACGGATTAACTTTGTTGCTTGCATTTGATTTTGTTTGTTAGAGTTAAATGAAATTTATGGTTTGTGTCTAGAAATTTTGCTTGCATCAATTTAATTTCAGCTGAACATTCCTATCAAATTAATAATTGTTAAGTGGAATTTTATTGATTTTGTCATAATTTTGACAATTTCAAGTGTAAGAAATCCTGCTTTGGATTAATGGCCTATAAAACAGTAACTGCTTCAAAAATGACATTGGCTGAAATGTCCTCTAGGGTATAATTCAAAGTAGAGCAGAAGCCCTGAGTCAGCTTTAAACGTACATTCCTAAATCTTGAAAGTCTTCAGGGGTAGGAAGTCATTAACCTTGTAGAATTCAGTATATCTTCCTCCCTCCCTCCTTTTCTCCCTCCCTTCTTCCTCCTTCCTTCCTCCCTTCCTTTCCTATCTCTCTTTTTTTTTTTTTTTTGCACCACTAGGTTTTGAACCCAGGGCCCTATGCTGGCTAGGCAGGCACTCTACCACTTGAGCCTTGCCATCACTTAGCACTGTATTTTCTAACATAGGATTGAAGGCTGACCTTTGAAGCTGCTCCTCTTCAGCTTTCAGCTGTTCCAGTTCTATGAAAAGAAAGCATAAAAAGAACACTATTAAAATGTTGCCATACATATCATCTGTTTTATTGAAATTTCTCACTTACTCTCACCTAATTTGTCAACAAACTCAGAACGAAGGGTTTCCCCCACCATTACTCTTTCAGTTACCTTTCTCTGCAGCTCTCATTTCAGAACCCTGTTCTTCCATAGGATTATCTTTCTCTTCATCTTCCAAATTCTTAGTTTCTAAAGCAGACATCATGCATTAGAATAATTCAGTCAAAAATAATTTATTAGGGCTGGAAGTGTGGCTCAAGTGTAGGATGCCTGCCTAGCAAGCACGAGGTCGGGTTTAAACCCCAATAATAGCTATATAAAAAATAAATAAATATCACAGATGAAAAGGATAAACGGTCCCAAAATGAAGTGTTCGAACTACTTCACAAACACCCACCATTCTCTGCCAATAAAGCAGAGAATATAGCACTGCCAATAAAGCTCTAAATTATAATGTCATATAATGATTTCTGGCAACCCATATGGGCTAAGCAGAAACAAACACATAAAAAAACAAGTGAGTACAACTTAAAATCTTTGTTTTTGAAACCTGGGAGTCATCCTTAAAGTTCTTTTTCCCCACATTTAAACCAAGTTTACATTTTACCTCAAAAATACCTTTTTCTTAGCTGGGTACTGGTAGCTCATGCCTGTAATCCTAGCTACTCAGAAGGCAGAGAACGGAGGCTCGCAGCTGAAGCCAGCCAGGGCAAATAGTTTGCAAGACCCTATCTCAAAAAACCCTTTCCAAAATAGGGCTGGTGGAGTGGCTCAAGTGATAGAGTGTCTGCCTAGCAAGTGTGAGGCCCTGAGTTCAAACCCCAGTATATATTTTGTTCACACTCACCAGCATTCCTTTATGTAAAGTAATGCTTATTCTTGACCATACCAGCCAATAACTACCAATAATGACTTAACTGGTTGCATTTATTCTTCGTTTTTTTTTTTTTTTTTGAGGAATGGTTTTGCTATGTAGGTCAGGCTGGCCTGGAGCTCAATATCCTCCTGCTTCATCCTCCTGGGTGCTAGAATTATAGGCCTGGGTCACCAGGTCTGGCTTGCATTTGTTCTTGATCTACTCAAACCCAATCTTTATACCTGTAATAACATTCTTCCAGTGGCTGTTCTTGGAAAACTCTAGATCTCCTTAAGAGGCCTCTTAGACTTGGTCACTAGTAACATCTCCAGTTTTATTTTAGATCATGCTCCCTTTTGTTCTCTATTGTAGACATGTTGGCCTATTTTCAAACCCCTGCAGTTAGTACATCTCTTTCACATAACAGTTTCTATGTGCGTTATTCATAGTGAATAATCTGCTCTCCTTTCCCTTTGTACTTTGTTAAGTCCTATTCCTCTTTCAGATCCTAACTCAAATGTCATTTCTTTAGAATGAAGGCTATATTGACTTCCTAACTTGGTTATATTACTCTTGTAGAACCTCACAACACATTGTAATCTCTTCCACAGAAGTTGCCATTACTTGTTTTTCTAAAATTAATTAATTAAATTTTTGAGCAGTACTGGGGTTTGAACTCATGGCCTTGAGCTTGTTAGGCAGCTGCTCTGCCATTTGAGCCACTCGGTCAACCCAAATTACTTGTTTAAACAAGCTTATAATCTCTGTTGGACTCCATAAAGGCACAAATAATGCTTGTTTTTGGTTCCCAGTATGTTCTTAGTCCTGAGTACTGTACATGGCACATAAAAGGTAACAAGGAAATTTGCACAGTTAATAATGAAGGACCAAGAAACAGGAAGCCATCAGTGCTACCTAAGGAGGGAAATATGGGTGGGTGCTTTATTTGTGGGGTGGAGTTATGGGGGGAGGATAGAGTTATATCCCCAGCCCAGTTTTTGGTATTTTTGAAGATGAGACAGAGTTGAATATAATCAATGGAAGTGGAAAGGTTAAATATATGAACAAAGGAAAAATTAGTGATGTAAGAGTCCTGAAAAGAAAAGAAGACTAGAAATCAATGTTTAGATGTAAAGATTGGTCTTAGGGAAAAGAAAGGAAGCATGAAAGAATGAACATTGACATATTTTTTAAAAAGTGTGATTTCTTTGGGAGTAGGAAGTATGGAAGTTCAAGCCTGGTGGCTTTTTTTTTTGTGAAGTAGAAAGTAAAGTAATAAACAAAAGGGTGTGGTAGTCTAAGACTATGAAATTCATTTACTCATCAATTCAATGCAGAACACAAAAACCAGGTAGTTTTTTACTTTTCTTGGTGGAAAACAGGTGAATGTATTAGCAGAAAAACGAGGCAGAAGGGCTGGGGTATAGCTTAGTGTTAGAGCACTTGAGCAAGGTTCTACCCCCACACCTACTCCACCCCTGGCCCCCCACTGCTACAACAAAAGCACAAAGCGGCAGAACTGTGTAGTAATGGCAAAGATTTGGTTGGAATTTAAGATGTGTAAGGAAGTAGTAACAAATAATATAAGAAAGAAAGATTTGAATTTGATTAGAAGAGAATGTTAACTGTTAAACTTAGATGTTTAAACATTATTTGAAATAAACAGACATAATGGTTTTTCAGGGGAGAAACATAATGCAAACTGCCTTTCATAATTATTAATCTGGGTTTGGGAGCATAACACCAATGGTTTAGCACCTTGTGCTTAGCAAGCACAAGGCCTTGAGTTCAAAGTTTGAACCCTACTCTGGCAGCAATGTTCAGTTTGTACTGGAAGGAGACTGAATGAAGGTAAGATTAGTAAGGAGACTCGAAATAGCACACTTCAGAATTAATGAGGTACTAAAGAAGGAATTAAGAGAGCATCAAAGAGAATGGTATGGTGGGGTGGCTCAAGTGGTAGAATGCCTGTCTAGCAAGGGTGAGGGCCTCAGTTCAAACCCCATACCGCCAAAGAGAAAGAGAGAGAGAATATCAAAGAAAATGTAAGTGTTCACCTTTTTTACTTGATTTTTTTTGGTGAGCTTAGTGTTTCAATTCAGAGTTTTGTACTTGCCAAGCGGGTACTCTACCACTTGACTCACACATTCAGTCCATTTTGCTGGGACTATTTTGGAGATGGGGGGTGGGTCTCATGAACTATTTGCTAAGGGCTGGCATGGAATGACGATCCTCCTGATCTCAGCCTCCAAGTAGCTAGGATTACAGGCATGAGCCACTGTCACCTGGCTATGTCCTTAATCTTTATTGTACATTTTTATGGTCCTCCCAACTCTTTTCCAAGACTCTAAAAATACATTCTGTTATTGGTTAGATGGCACATTGTTACCATGTAAATTTGGAGGGAATAACATGTGCACGTGCACACACATCAAAAAAGAAAAGATGAAAAAATTCAAAATTCCAAACAAATAGAGAAAGAGAGGCCAAAGAGGAGTTAAAAGAAGCAGCCAGGAGAAAAGAATAGTGTCAAATTGGTGCAAAATCATGGAGGTTAACAGAGATAAAATTTTCAGGAAGAAAAGAACAATAAGCAATGTCAAATATGGAAAGAGGTCAAGATGCCTAGGGCTGGAAAGAATAAAATTTGATGATTATGTGGAATTTTGAGAAGGTGGTTTCAGGAAAGAAAAGTAACAAGTTGGAATTATGAGAAGCCAAACTAAAAGTTTAGACAATTTTCAAATGAAGATTAAATTCATTTATTAAAAAATACAAGATTATGGGCTAGGTTATTATGAAGTACTTTCCAACGGGACTCATTATCTTGGGCATCTCTTTACTGTGTTAAGGATGATCATAGTAAAAGACTTTTAATTTGTAATTTATTTTCTCAAGCTGCTAAGATAGCATAGTAAGACCAACAACCTGCTACAGGGAGATACTGAGATAAATATTATTTTAGAAAAGTATTTATTTATCTTTTTCAGTGCTAGGGATTGAATCTAGGGCCTGCTACATGCTAGACAAGTGCTCTACAATTGAGCTACATCCCCAGCCCTTAGACAAGTATTTAAAATAGTTTACCTATTTCCACTTCAGCGAGACAGTTATTGATCTTCATAAGTATTTTGTCCATCTCATTTATCCTCATCTGAAGTTTCTCCCTCTCATTCTAAACACAAAATATTATAGGCTGTAGGTTAACTCTCCAAACAAGACATTATAAATGATCTGAACTGCTATGTCATGATCACAAACAGTCAAATCTTAAAGTCAAAGCTTTAAGTCTGTCTTAAAAATTAAAAAAAAATTTCAATAGCAGGTAAATATGAGCTAATTTTGCTTTTTCATTTATTACAGCATTTATATATGTTACATGGAATATTGGATATTAATATTTATTAAGTACAAAGAATTCTTTAAATTTTTCCCTATGGTCAGAAACATGGGAAATACTGATCAAACAGAATTACAGCATTTTTACTTTCAGACTTAACTTTAAATAAAATTTATATTTCTTTAAATAGGATACTGCATGCAACATTTCCCATACTTATTTGCCAATGTAAAGTTTTTTGTTTCTTTTTTTCAGCACTATAATTTGAACTCAGGGCCTCATGTTTGCTAGGCCGGGGCTCTAAGTTTAAGCCATCCTGTCAGCCTCTGCCAATGGAAAGGATTTTTATGGTTTTTTTTTTTTTTTTAATGGCACAGTGGACCAAAGACATAGGGCATTGAGAATGTTAGGTGAGTGTTTCATCACTAAGCTACATTCTCAGACCTATGCAAAGCCTTCTTAAAAGGATGATCATTGCTGGGCACTGTGGCTGAAGCCTGTAATCCTAGCTACTCAGAGGGCAGAGATCGGGAAGATCAGGAGGCCAGCGAGGGCAAAGTTTGAGATCCCATTTCAATGAAAGCTAGGTGTGGCAACACACACCTACCATTCCAGTTGTGCAGGAAGCATAAACAGTCTGCCTGGGCATAAACTTGAAACCCTATTCCAAAAATAACTAAAACAAAGAGCACTGGGGGAGTGGCTCAAATTGTAGAGTACCTGTGAAACAAGTGCAAGGCCCTGAGTTCAAACCCCAATACTACCAAAAAAAAAAAAGAAAACAAACAACAAAAAAAGGATGATCATGTTGAGAAATGTTACTGTAACACACAGTAACTTTTAAAGGTGGGCACAAGTATGAAGAAAATACTACAGCCTGTAACAATGGGAGACCAGAATCCTATATATTTTACTTCAGTATGTACAATGAGTGGCAGTGGTTGAGATGAGACATAAGCATGTTATTAACTATGTGCCAAGAGTTGCCAGTGTTCACTAACTGAATCTCACATCCTATAAACAATTGTTTTTATTCAAGTCTCACTCAGATATCTCCTAAGAAACAGCCTTCATATTCTACAACCAGTATACAATAATTTTAGTAGCTATTTCCATGGGTTAATTCTGTCAAATTACCTGAGCTGATTGTACCAGCTTGCTGTACAGAGCCACCTTTCCTTGGTGAGTGAAGACTTTAGTCATCTTGGTAGAACACGATTTTATTTTGTTAAGGTAAGTCCCAAAGGCCTTCAGCTGTAAGGGAGAGGTAGAGTACAGTGCAGTAAAACAAATTAGTCAGATAAAGTGGTCTGGGAAGGCAGGCTCAACTGCCATGCTAGGCTTTTGCCTATTCTCGATTCTGATTACTAAGGCAGGATACTTCTCATTTGCAGATTTAATTCCATATACTTGTTTAAAAAAAGAACCAAAAATTTCAGTTTTGATTGCTGGCTTAAATTGATTTGTTCATGGTACAAATTAGAAAATGACAGGCTCTTAATTGACAAAACACTCAATATATTAAGGCACATATAAAATGGGTTGAATATTATTTAACCAAGTAAAGAGAATCTTTTCTTCATTTAAATCTGAGTGAAAGGTGAGTAGGAAGGAGGAAACTTCAAATATATTCTATATATTAAATTGATCATCACAGGTTTTAAAAGATTATATATTAACAATTACTTGTACAAATAAGAACTTGGTAACATTAATTCTAAGAAAGAATTTAAAGAACTCATCACTAGTTATCAAGTAACAGTTATTTATTCTACCATAAACATTATTCAAAATATCTGTATTTACTTTCATTCAGAAAATGAGACAAAAGTACCTCTTCATCAGAGCAGTGTCTCATTTTCTCCCACAAGTTTCTATTTACATCAGTCAAGAGTTTATCTTGGCTCATTGCAGAAACCTTTAATCTAAAATACAGAGAAGTTAGCACAGGGTACAGAAGTCAGCTTGAATGAACTGTTCAGATCTACAGACAATTAATTTAGTTCTTCTCTATGTTTTTTCCTACATAAAAAGAATTCACTTCAAAAAAAAAAAAGTGGCCAGCCTGATTATTCAACACTTAAAGAACAGCAGTTCAAGAATGTCACAAACCGAAAATACTTCGCTAGGACTGGAGGTGTGGCTCAAGTGGTAGAGCATCTGCCTTGCAAGCTCAAAGCCCTGAGTGCAAACTTCAGTACTGCCAAAAACCAAACCAAAACAAAAGAAAAATTTCTCTTACAAATAAGAGTTCTCATTTCAATGTATTAGCTTGCCCCAATGTGAAAACATGTTGCTTATAACCCAAGGCTTGACAAAGTATAATTACTGTTAAGTTGTAGAGAGTATTTTAAATAACAGTCCCCAAAGCCAGGCACCAGAGGCTCATACCTGTAATCCTAGCTATTCAGGAGTCAGAGATCAGGAGGATCATGGTTTGAAGCCAGCCCTGGCAAATAGTTCATGAGACCCTAGCACCAAAATATCCAACACAAAAAAAAGGACTAGTGGACTGGCTCAAGTGGTAAAGCACCTGCCTAGGAAGTGTGAGGTCCTGAGTTCAAACCCCACTACCACAAACATAAATAATTAAATAAATAAATAACAGCTCCCAATTCAGAGCTGGGTGTGGTGGTGCTTGCCTGTAATCCCAGCACTTGGGGGCGGGCAGAAGCATGAATATCTTGAGTTCAAGGTCACTTTGGGCTACACAGCAAGTTCAAGGCCAGCCTGAGCTATACTGTAAGACTGTCTCAAAAGCAACAAAAAAATTCCAAATTCAGTTCAAAGTCTTATCTTACTTTTACAGAATAGCATTTATTAAAAAAATAGCTAAACTATTATAATCCTTATATATTAGTCTCTTGTTAATTAGTGGAAGAAATAAACTTTTGTCAAAGTTAGATAATATTATATTCAGGCACACAAACACAAAATAAACAGCAGAGCCAATCTAAACATGTTCAAGTAAGATTCCATTTCCTTTTTTTTTTTTTTTGGCAGTACTGGGGTTTGCACTCAGGCCTCAAGCTTGCCAGGCAGGTGCTCTACCACTTGAACCACTCTACCAGCCCTTTTTGGTGATGGGTTTTTTTCGAGATAGGGTCCCATGAACTATTTGACCTGGCTGGCTTCAAGCCACGATCCTCCTGATCTCTGCCTCCTGAGTAGCTAGGATTACAGGTGTGAGCCACTGGTATACAGCAAAACATAATTCTTTTTTATTTATTTATTTTTTTGAAAGGTAACTATACACATTTTAATTTAAATATACATATATTTTAAAAATGGTACATGTACATGTATGACTAAAGAGCATGCTGACATATAAGACCACGTCTACACTGGTCAGCTTTGAAGAACCATTTAATGTGCTGACAGTAGTACTGGCACAGGCAGACAGTAAGAATAAATTCTAGTGCTTTGGGAATAGCAGTAGTGACGGGCAGAGGTAACTGAGGAGCCTCACTGGATGCTGCTGCAGGAACAACCCCTTAGTAGTGAATATGCAAAGTTGCTGACCTCTGTGACAGATTGCCCAGACTACCCAGACAGCCTCCCTACTTAAAACAACAAAATTCTTAAAGATTATTTGATTTCTTTTGTTTATTAAATTGGTTCAAATGTAATTGGATAGTCCTAAATAAGTATAACATAACCATCCTTTTGAAGTATAAATTCTTTTGTGTGTGTGTGTGTGTGTGTGTGTGTGTGTGTGTGTGTGTGTATTACTGGGGCTTGAACTCAGGGCCTACACCTTGATTCACTCCATCAGCCCTTTTTTGTGATGGGTTTTTTTGAGATAGGGTCTCATGGAACTATTTGCCCAGGCTGGCTTCAAACTGAGATCCTCATGATCTCTACCTTCTGAGTAGCTAAGATTACAGGTGTGAGCCACCGGAGCCCGGCCCGATTTTTTTTTTTTTAATGGGACTGGGTTTTGAACTCAGGGCTTCACACTTACAAATCAGGTGGTCTTTGGCTTGAGCCATACCTCCAGTCTATTTTGCTCTGGTTATTTTGGAGACAGGGGAAGTCTCATGAACTATTTGCCCAGGCTGGCCTCGAACTGCTATTCCCCCCACACCAATTTTAGCCTCCCAAGTAGCTATGATTATAGGTGATTATGTATAAATTCCATATACCTGAGGAAATCCAAATATACCTGATTTGTAAATCAGTGTGCAATATTTATAAATACCAAAGCACTGGGTTATCTTCTGAGTAAAACAATGTCCTTTTATATATGTATTAAGGGCAAATTCCAACAGCAATCTTGACTTTAGATACTACATATAAATTTCTAAAGGGTACTATCTTCTTTTGAAGATGTTCGTTTGCAAATAATTTATGATGTCATAATCTAATAATTACTGTCTATTTTACTGAAGACTTATTTTTTGTTAAGAATGGTTTGGCCAGCTGCTGGTGGCTCACACCTGTAATCCTAGCTACTCAGGATGCAGAGATCAGGAGGTTCATGGTTCAAAACCAGCCCAGAAAAATAGTTCATGAGACCAGATCTTGAAAAAACCCATCACAAAAAGGGCTGGTGGAGTGGCTCAAGGTGTAGGCACTAAGTTCAAACTCTGGCACCGCCAAAAAAAAAAAGGTCTTGGGAGACCAAGATAAGGAAGATTGTGGTTTGAGGCAGCCCAGGCAAATAACCAGAGCAAAATGGAATGGAGGTGTGGTTCAAGATGTAGAACACCTGCTTTTCAAGTAAAAAGCCCTGAGTTCAAACCCCAGTCCCATCAAACCAAACCAAACAAAAAACTCCACAAAAACTAGAATGGTATAAAAATTTTTTTAAAGTGGTACTGGCATTTGAACTCAGGGTCCCTATGAAAACATTTTATGCAAACTATTTCTACTGCTCATTCTACCTCTGAGTAAGTATTATTATCACCACTTCAAAGATGTAGTCATGAAAGTTAAATGACTTACACAAGTTACACAGCTAGTGTTGTAGCCAGGATTGAGCTTCAGTACGTCTGATTACAAAGCCAAAATTCAAATTTTCTCCCATGTTGGTTTATTGTAATCAAAACCTTTCCACAGAGACTATTTGCTTATTAACTATCCACCCAACAAATCCCCACATAAAACTACACAGGAAAAAAAAGATTAAAACTTTCTCACTCTTCAATCTTTTGGCGAAGAACCTCACAATCTTCTCTATAAAGCTGTATCTTGGGTCCATAAACATATTGTCTTAACATCAGGTCTTCTGGAGTAGGTGATGTGTTTATAGCAAACTGAAAAAACAAACACACAAACAAGTCTGGTATCTTGAGGATAAAACCATGTACAAGAATGAATTCAAGTTTCTGTGTCTATTTTTTAAAGTTATTCAAAAAAGGCTGGGGATATATCTCATTGGTAGGGTGCACAATGCCCTGGGTTCTGTTCCCCAGCACTGTCAAAAAAAAAAAAAAGAAAAAAAAAGTTATACAGGGCGAGGCGTGGTGGCACATGCCTGTAATCCCAGTTAATCAGGAAGTCAAGATACAAGAATTGAGGTTTGAGGCCAGTTCCAGCAAAGTTAGCAAGCTCTATTCTCAGTAAACAAGCCAAGTATGGTGGTGTACACATGTAATCCCAATTACTTGGGTGGCAGTGGTAGAAGGATCACAGTCTGGGGCCAGACTGGCAAAAAGCTTGAGGTCATATCTGAAAAACAAACTAAAAGCAAAAGAACTAGGGGCATGGTTGAAGGGGTAGACTATTTGCCTAACAAGTGTGAGGCCCTGAGTTCAATGCCCAGTACCACCCTCCCAAGACAAAAAAAATTATACAAAGAAAATTATGAATCCGCATAGCTAGTAAGCTATAAGTCAGAACTTGAGTTCAAGTGTTACACTTCAAAGTCCCATTCACCCTCAGATGTTCAGGAGAACTGAGGCTATTGACTCATAAAGGATTGACAGTGCTCACACCTGTAATTCCAGCTACTTGGCAGGCACAGGTAGGAGAAGCACAGTTCCAGGACAAAAAAAAAATAAATTAGTGAGACCCTATCTCAAAAAACAAGCCCAGTGTGGTGGCACATACTTATGATCCCAGCTATGTGGGAGGCATTGGTATAAGGATCTTGATCCCAGGCCAGCCTAGACAAACAGTGCAAGACACTATCTAAAAAATAACTAAAGCATACAGGACTGGAGATATGGATCAGGTGGTAGAGTGGCTACCAACCAAATGCAAAGCCCTGAGTTCTAATCACAGTACTGCCAAAAATAATAAATGTCTCTATATTATTTTATGAAAATCAATACATAAAATTAAAACTTACTAGGGATCTCTTTACTTTTTTTTTAAAGTTAAGTTTCCTAGATAATACTAGTGTCTTCCCATTCTCTACCCAGATCTTTAAGTTCTATATCTGACTAAACTCAAACTTTTCTGGCATATTCCCATTTATAAAATAAGACAGTGAAAATCTTGTTATTTTAAAATGTTTTAAAGCTTGGATCCAATGACTTTCCTATGTCCTCAATGGAAAAATCAAGTCAGCTTCTATGTCACATTACTTATGAGAATGAAGCAAATCCCCAGGGCTGTCCATCATTCACTGCGAGTGTAGCACAGATGGAGTACTCATCTATGTGAGCACAACACTGACTAGCCTCTCAGAACTAGAGGAAAAAGTTTTTATGCTTTTAAAAAATACTTACCCAGGGCATACTAATCTGACAAATGTCAGTTTTCTGTTTCTTATAGGTTAAAGGGCAATTTACAGAGAAATATTAACCAACTACCATGTTGAGCCTCATTTGGTCCCAATTTAATATAGTGAAAAAAAAATGCATAAGACTGGGCTGTAAGTGTGGTTCAGGAGGTAGACTGCCTGCCTTGCAAGCATGTAGCCCTGAGTTCAAACCCCATAACCATCAAACAACAAAACACGTAAGACAATCAGGGAAACATAAATACTGACAGAATAACTCATTATTTTATGGTATGATTATAGTATACAGATATTTTAAAAATAAGAGCCATCTGTTTTAAGGATACATATTGAAATACTTACAGATAAACTGATAATACATGAGATTTGCTTCAAAATAATAGGAGTAAGGAGATGGAGGTTAGGCAAACACAAGAATTGTTTATTTAAAAATTTTTTTGGTGCTGGGAATTGAACTCATGGCTGTGCATACAAAGCACACACTCTACCACTAAGCTATTCCTCAGCCAAGATAATTTTTGAAGTTGGATGACAGATTCATAGTTTATTAAACTACTGTATATGCTGGAAATTTTCTATAATAGTATTTTTTTTTTTAAAGGGCAGGTTTGCTGGGCATGGTGGCACACACCTGTAATTTTAGAGACTGAGGACAGATGATCACAAGTGTAAGGACAGTCTGGACTACAAAGTGAGAGTCTGTAAACAAACAAAAAAAAGTGTGTGTGGCAGATGATGACAGGTTTCCTCATAAACTATTAAAGCAAAGTGCAGAAGCATGCTCCCAGAGATGTACCAGGGATGCCAATGGATGTTAGGCTCATGGACTGTGGAACATACTAGATGCAGTTATTGCTGTATGTAGTGGGTGGATTAATTTGCTGCACCTTGAGCTCAGGAAATATGCACAAGCCACTCTCCTCTTCTGACTTATCTATATTGCTTAAGTGCCCAACTTATGCACAATTAGAACTTGGGTTCCTCAGGCCTGGCAAGAGCACCTGCAGTAGTTCCTCAACTCTCTGCAGAGTATGAGTTACAGTACTTCAGTGCTTCATCCAGAGCCACCCCTTAAGCATACAGAGGTAGCAACAAAAAACTTCTGCTCTCCTGACACTGGTGGCTCACACCTATAATCCTAGCTACTCAGGAGGCAGAGATCAGGAAGATCTTGATTCAAAGCCAGCCTAGGCAAACAGTTCTATGAGACCCTATCTCAAGAAACCCTTCACAAAAATAGGGCTGGTGGAATGGCTCAAAGTAAAGGCCCTGAGTTCAAGCTCCACTACCAAAAAAAAACCAAAAACCAAAAAACTTCTGCTATACTTGAATTTTTTTTTTTGGTGGTAGTTACTGGGGTTTGAACTCAGTGCTTTGTACTTGCTGAGCAAAGCTCTACCACTTGAGCCACACCTCCAGCCCATATAATTTGATTTTTTTTATAATGCAGGAAAAGAATGTTCATTTTGTAACCAGGAAAAAAGTATCAAAAATAGATGTCAAAAGTTAAGAAAAATTTAAAATTTTGCTTTATCAGAATCCATAATTTCAAAAAAATCCATTTTTATGCTAACCAAACATGAAATTTATTTCTCTTGATTCTTTTACTTCCGCTATTCAATAAATTACTTGATGTAATTTAGTAAAAAAGTACAACATACTTTAACTGAGATAACTATTTTGCCAAGAAACTGCACTTACTTTGCCTGGGAGATTGCTCTGCCTGGGTTTCTGTATCAAGATGTGGACTTGAAGAAGTGTGAAGAACTCTCTTATTGTAATACTCCCATCTTTGAGTTTCTGAGAAAAGAAAAAAAGAAGTTTGTAGAACCATTCAAAGTGAGCTCACATTCACTCATTTGTTTCTAAATAGTGTAAACTAATTTGCACCATCTCAACCAATAGAAACCTGTGTGTGGTGGTGCATGTCTGTCATCCCAACTACTTGGGAAACATAAATAGGAGGATTGCGGCATAAAAGTGAGCCCCTATTTGAAAAATAACTAAAGCAAAAAGGGCTGACAGCATGGCTCAAGTAATAGAGTGCCTGCCTACCAAGTGCAAGGCCCTGAATTCAAATCCTAGTACTGCAAAAAATCATAAAAGCCAATTTTGAAAAATAGAATTTTTTCAAAAGAGAAATACATTTGACATACCTCCCTTAAGCTCTCTTCACAAACACTGTCACTGAGAAACTGTGATTCCATTTGACTATTGTTTGCTAGAAGTAAAGCAAATTTATGTGAAAAACAAATAAGGATTAAATTGTAAACATAATTGTTATCTTCCAGATTTCTATGTGGCTCCTGATCCTGAAGCCATTCGCTGGGATGTTTCAGAGAAGATAGTCATTTAGCTATGCAAAGTATATTCCAGCTATAAGGTTCCATTCGATGTTTCCCAATAATTACAAACTACTGAAGAAAATAACACTGTTTGTAGTGTAACACTTCTCAGTTCATTAAAATAACTAAGAATTAAAAATTTTACTTAACTCTTTATAGCTCAGGAAAGACCTGTATAACATTCTTCCTAAACTGAAATACATTCATTACTAGTCAATGATTGAGATACTGATACTATTTAGCCTTCATGAAGATCTTACTGCTGAAGTCCAGAGAGGTCCCATCAGCCTTGACTGAATCCAGAGAGCTGCTGCAACTAGATGGAGTCCTGCTCAGGCTTTTTGCCAATACGCTGTAAACATTTTTATCCATATCTTCTTCACTACAGTGATCAAACCCCTGAAATTGTCAATAAAGGAACATCAGTAGAATAGTTATGACATTGTATAGTCATAATGACTAAAGGTTTGTTAAACAATACTATTTCTAACATAAAATTTATCTATACTTCGTATAAAACACCTTACTAAAGATTTAGAATGGCCAGATGCTGCTGATTCATGCCTGTAATCCTAGCTACTTAGGAGGTTGAGTTTGGGAGGATCTTGGTTTGAGGCCAGCCTGGGCAAAAAGTTCTTGAGACCCTATCTCAACCAATAGCTGGGTACTGTGACATATGCCTGTCATCCCAAATTAGCAGCAGGAGGCTGAGATTGGGTGGATTCCAGCTCCAGATAAGCCCAGACCTAAATAAATAAATAAAAAGTTTGTGAGATCCTCATCTCAATGAAAAAAACTTGGTGTGGAGGCATAAATCTGTCATCAGGAAACTGAAAAAAAAAAGGACTTAGGTCCAGGCCAGCCTAAGCAAAAAGTAAGACCCTATCTTCAAAATAATCAGAGCAAAAAGGGCTGGAGGCATAGCTCAAGAGCATCTGCCTAGCAAGCATAAAGCCCTCAGTTCAAATCCCAGTACCACAAAAAACAAAATAAAACAAAAACAGAAATATATATATATATATGTATGTATGCATATGTATATACACACACACATGAATTTTTAGTGGAGGAGGGGAAAAAAGAAAAGGTATGAAGTCAAGTTATGCTTCTTATAAAATGTTCAGTTATGTATGAAGGCATGAACACAAACACACAGCTTTATGTGCGTGTAAGCAAACGATTTCTCAGATATGTCTCAGTTATAGCCAGACCCTATAAGCGACCAAACATTAACTTATTCAATTATTTAGCTACTAGGCACCAATGGCAGAGCTACTTCACAGAAAGCCAGAATATTGATTATATGTGGTACGCTGGTTTAGAGCACACAGAAGAAATTATTTCTTGATTTTAGTAGTTTACTCAACTGACCAGGATCACTGGCGCTTATCAAATAAATCATATGGTCCTGATTTTACTATTTTAATCATTTGGTTTCCCTGCTTCAAATATCATCTTCATCTACCTATTTACATACATACGTATATGTATGTTTATATGTTTATAAACATATACATGTGTGTTTATATATATATATCTATATATAAAGTCTTACTGTGTTGCCAGGCGGGGTTTAAAACTCAAAATCCTCCTGCTTTAGTCTCCTGAGTAGCTGGGATTACAGGCATGCCCACCACATCCACTCCCATGCTTTTTAAAGATAATGTATTCTTTACCAATGCTCGATAAAAGGTTTTTATTGGTACATTTCCATGGATGTCATCCCAGCATTTAAAATACTGCATAGAGCATAGCAGAAACTCAATGTATAGTGAACAAAGTAATAGAATGTTACTTTTCATAAAAATCTAGCCAGATTTAATCTTATAGTTCAAGCTATTACTAGTTTCTCAAAGTTTCGTGACTATTTTCTTATGCTCTCATCTTAGCGAGCCACCTAAATCATCTTCCTGCCTTCTTATGTGTTCAAGTTTTGTATTCTACAAACTGAGAAACTTCCTAATCTTCATTTCCCCACCTGCAAAACTCATTTTGAGTGACAGGTTTTGCTCTAAGTTGTCCAAATCTGTGTTTCTTGACAAAAAAGGAAAAAAACCAAAAACAAAAAACTGTATCTTCCTTCAAGAAATATAAAATTTCACTTACTTCACTTTGAGGTACTGGGCTTGACCTAGGAATTATCCCACCCACTAAAGAAATGGATTCCCAGCTTCTGTGTCTCATTAGCCAAAAAAAATTGAATTAAGCTTCTCTTTCTGCAATTTGTACTAAAAAGGCTTTTTACTCCCCAAATATTTATAACACTGAAAATGACTTTTCAAATTACATATAGCCCTCCCAAGAGATTCTCATACACAAAGTAACATTGACAAGTCACCAGAAGTGACAGAATATTTATAATTAATACAGTTTTAGACTGGGCGTGGTGGTGCACTCCCATAATCCCAGTATGTGGGAGGCTGAGGCAGGAGGATCTTGAGTTCAAAGACAGTCTTGGCTACACAGTGAGAACCTATCTCAAAACAAACAAAAAATTACACACTTTCCTATTCTGTCTTTCTCTTTCTCTCTCAGCGGAACTTGGGCTTGAACTCAGGGCGTTGTACTTGCTAGGCAGGCACTCTACCACTTAAGCAAGGCCCCTAGCCCTGAATCACACAATTTCAACACTGCTTAATTTTTGTGCTTCTTTCCAGACCATTTTTGTGGCTATTTCCCACTACATATTATTTGAAAGTCTAGCTGTTAGTCAACTGACTCCTAAAGATTCTATATAGGAACATTTCTCTAGCTTATAAGAGGAAACAATCAGTTCTTATTTACTTAAGACTAAAATTAAAATTCAAGTACATTCCTAAGTTTAAAAAAATACAGCTAAACGTGGTGGCACATGCCTGTAATCCCAGCACTTGGGAGGCAGGAGGATCACGAGTTCCAGGCCAGCTTGGGTCATATATGGCAAGACCCTGTATCAAAAACACATTAAAATACAAAAGTGAAGAACATTTCTTGGCTCAAGACAGAGCTTACCTCCTGATCTTGTGTAGTATCAGCAAGTTTAATCTCATCTTTTCTCATCTTTTTCTCATGTGGAACAGCATCTTCTTGTTGTACCCTGGATCTCTTTTGGATATTGTAGGTGTCTTCCATTTTGCTTTCAGATAGTAAAATCTCTTTTTGGTAAGTGTCAACCAAAGCCTTTTCTTCAATTTCTATGCTAATAGAGTCTGAGGAATTAATCTCACCAGAATATACAGGAAGATTTTCCTCATTTATATATTGAGATGGACTTAAGTTCAGTTTGGCTGCAACAGCTCCAGTGCCTGTATCCTTGCTAGAGATTGGTTGGTTTTCTAAGTGACTTATGTCAGCTGTATTTACTGAAATCTGCTCCAGGTCATCCACACCAGTGACACTACAATTTCTCCTGTTCGGCAATCTGGGTAAAAAGATTCCCAAAGAGCATCTCCTCATTTTGTCTTTAACAGCTGTCTTTAATGGTGCAGAGGTAGTTTCAGCTCCATTAAGAAACTTTTTATTTTCTTCATCTCTACTATCTGCAGCATCATTGGAGACTACATTATGTATTTCTGTTGCTTGCACTATTCTCCTATTATTGCATGTCTTATTTCCTAATTCGAGTAATTGTTCTGAAGGAGGTAGCATATGAACAGTTCGAAAATCTAAAATCTCTTCAGTTTTTTCACTCAAATTATTCAGATTTGGTTTGACACTACTAAAACGTGGAGCATTAGATGCAATCATAGATTCTGATGCTTCTCTAACATTGGCGTGGGTTTGAATGACCTGTGTAGTCAAGTCTGAGTTGCTATGGAAATCTACGGCTGCATTACACTTAGTTGTTTCAGTATTTTCTTTAAGTTCTTTTTTACAGGCTATAGCAAAGTGTTTCTCATTACCAAGCATTTTGGACTCTTTTTCACAGGTCGATACAGAGGAATTTCCAGCTTTAGACAGTATTGCTTCATCTTTATTGTCAATAGTCTGTTGTTGTTGGGTTGAGAGATGAGGCTGAGAAGCAACATAAGTAAAGGCCTCCACTTGATCCTTTGGAAGCTTGAAAGATACATACTTTGAATTAAGCTTAGTTGTCTCCCCCAGATTTTGACTATGTACTAAAGCTTGATTAGCTAATAGATTTTTAGGCTCTCTAATCAGATCCTGATCTCTGCATAGTTTTATGGCACAGTCTAACTGTCCTTTAGAACCAGTTTGAATAGTTTCTTCCTTCTCTAACAATGGACAAGGCGCAGAGAGAGGTGGTCTCTCAGATTTCAAGTAATATTCACTGGCTAAAGCATCTGTGTAAGCATGATCATTTTGCACAGGGCAATCACTGGCATTCTCATTATTTTTATCATAGTGTATGGATGTGACATTATTCTCCAAATTATCAAAAGAGGAAATAACATTTGGTAAAGAGGAACAATTATCACTGGACCCACCAATGGCAACAATATGATGGTTTGTAAAACCCTCATTTTTTCTATCTGTCCTACTTAAGTGACAACTTTCAATTTTTACATCTTCTGATGTATAGGCTTGGTTTACAATTTTCCCTATGGCCTCATCTGTATCGGCTCCATGGAATTCGGTAATTTCCATCTTACCTTGACCCCTAGACCATGTATTAGTAGTAGGAATAGGGGCTGTTGTATTATGCTTTTGCTCAGGGTGAAAAACAATTTTGTTTTCTATAGACTGTGCTGCTTTTTTAGTGATTTCTTGAACACAGTTATCATTCTTAGGAAAATAAGTACTCAAGGTTTTTCCTCTTGCTATTCCAAATTTGGGGTACTCTTGAAGTACTTTCTCTGTGGCTTGACAATCAATGAAAACAGTGTGGGACTTGGTGACTTCCAAATCATTGTGATTATCTACAAACACTACAGTGTTATCTACAGGCCTAGTAGTTATTTCATCTGGGGAGACAGTTTCACATTCTAAGGCAGTTGGGTGACTTCTAGTGGTCTCCATGTCATCCTGCCCACATTCATACAAAACAGTTTTAGAAGTTCCTGCCAAAGGCTCCAAATTAAAGTCCTCTTTATCTTCCAGGGTACTTCTGTTATTTACTTCTACCATACAACTCTGGGTGACATCCATATCATTTTTATCATTGTCTGAAAATACAATGGTCTTGTCATTTTTGAGCCTAAGGCTTTTTCTTCTTTGACTTTTGCCTGACACAGGTTCATTCAGAAATCCAGCCTTTTGTACATCTTTGACATTTTTCCAAGTGGTTAATTTAGACATTTCCATGTTATCATCAGCTATAAATGTTACAGCTCCCTCTCTAGGATGATGACTAGAACACTCCTCCAGCACTGTTAGCTGACTGTCTTTTGCTGCTAGATGGTTGCTTTCACCATTTTCTGAAAAGAAAATACTCTCTTCAGCAAGAGATGTCATTTTCGATTTTTGTAGGCTTTTCCTTTTAGATATTTCAAAGTTAGGTCTGTCTGGAAGTACTGTTTTCTCCTCTGCTTGGCAGTCAATGAACACAGTGTGGGACTTTGTCATTTCTAGTTCATCATAATTATCTACAAACATTACAGTCTTCTCCACAGGCCTAGTAGTTATGTCATCTGATAAGACAGTTTTACAATCTAGTGCAGTTGTGTGACTTGTAGTGATTTCCATTTCATCCTGCCCACATCCATACAAAATAGTTTTAGAAGTTCCTGCCACAGGCACCAAATGGGAGTCACAATTTTCTAATAAAGGTCTATGGTTTATTTCTACTGTGTAACTCTTAGTGATATCCATATCATTTTCACCACCCTCTGAAAATACAATCGTCTTATTAATTTTTAGTCCATCAACACTTTTCCTCTCATAAATTTTGACATTTTGTCTTTCCTTCAGAAGTCCTGATTTTTGTACACTTTTGTCCTCTAACACATCCATATTATCATTAAATGTAAGTGCTCCAGTTTCTTCTAGAAGACTTTTATTGCAGTTTTCAATTTTTATAGCCATCTGTCTGCTTACTGTTGTAAGCTGGCTCATTCTGTGTCCCAAATTACTCTTACTAAATTCTTGTACTTCAGAAGAACCAAATCCAATGACAACAGTATGGCTCTTGGTTAGATCCATAGTTTGCTCCTCTTCTGAACAAATAATCACCTTGTCATGCGAAGAGTCAGGTGTGGGATCTTCTATGTTTCCCTTCAGTGGCTCAGGCAGGTTAGAACTCTGGCCTTGTACAGATTTAGTTAACTGACTACTCATAACGGTATTCTGATTTTTCATGGCAGGTTGTCTAGGCAGACAATCAGATGATGAAAATAATGGCTTTGTGGTAGAAAATGAAGATTGCTCACTTGAAACTGTACTTCCATTATTTCCTAGTGCCATTTGTTTATCGAGAACTGTAGCACAGTAGGCCACATTATGGTTTGTTGTGATGTCCTGATTATAATCAGCTGCTGAAGGAGAATCTTTAGAAAGACTGGGTGAAATCTTCAAAATTTGATGTTTTCCTTTGCCCCGGGTATCAGTTAGGATATTTTTAGGTATCATGTTTGGTTGTTGGGATGGTTTGATATGACTTTTGTTCATGTGTTCCCACTTATCTGAAGGGCTTCTGTTCCAAGAGAAAGATTTAGTAATATTCTCTGATGCTAGATTGTAAGATGCAAGAGGAGCTTGACTTAAGTTACTTGTGTGACTTTTAGTTAAATCCATGTCTTCACTTGCTAAGAGTTCAGTCTTTCTGTTAGTTAATGAAATAGATAAAGAATTTGTCAGATTCTGCTGTATTCTGTCCTTAGATACTACAGGAACTAAGCTATCATTTACATTTGTTTCCCCATCTTTTGAAAGAGTTATGTGATTCTGGAGCATCCTTTCGTTTTTAGATATTGGTGCAGCTGTTATTGGCACCTTTGCCTGATCCTGTTTAAAAATATGATTATCTATTGCAACTGTGTGACTCTTGGTAATGTCCATGCTATCTTCCCCTGAATAAATAGTTTTCTCTATGAGAAGAGGACTGGCATCTGGATTGGGACATATTTTAGAATAATTACCATCAGGCTCCATCGAATTTCTCTCCTCTCTCATACTTGAGAGACACTTGGTCAGTTCCATGGCATCATTACAACTAGAATAAAAAACTGTCTTATAACCTTGAATAGCTGGACCAGAACATATAGATTCTGAGGTCATAGCTGATGTTCTGGCATCTTGATTAGAAGTCTCTGAGACTGTTTGAGTTTCTGGCCCCATAATATGACTTCTGGTAATATGTATTTTATGTTGAGGGCTTAAGAAAGGATCTTGAAAAGCAGCATTTAGTTTATGCTTGAAGATTGTTTTCTTTCCTGGAGCTTTAGTTTCACGAACTGTTGTAACATCCATCATAATATTCTGAGTTTGATTTTCTGCTTCAGATAAATTATCTACTGAGGGTAAAACCTGCATAGTCTGGTTGGCGGTCAAGTCCATACAATCATCGCCATAAACTGTATTATCACCTTTAAATTCTACAAAGTCAGCCTCGCTGGATGTGGGAACCAACGTCTGAATATTGGCTGTATGACACTGGGTAAAATTCATCTCATCATCTTGTTCTCTAAAAATTCTAGTCATATTACTACTATTCTCATCTACATTAAGTGATAAATGCATTTGATGTATAGAAGAGGCACTATTTGATTGTTTAGAATAAATAGGTATTTCAGAATTTTCTTTATCAGGTCCTGTAGGACAAGCACTATACTTTCCTGCTTTCAATCTTTTTATGAAGTCATTGGAATTTATTTTCTCTTCTGAGGAAGTGTTTTGATCCATGGAAAATTTCAATTCTTCTTTCATTCTTGAATTCTCAGCATGGCGCTTTAAGTTAGCCAGAAAGGATGTGGTATCTATCTTGGTGGACTTTTCACTTTTGGTACAATCTACAAGGCCTTTGGAAATCATCACCGTGTGACTTGCAGTGAGGTCCATCTGGTTTTCATCTGAAAAGATGACTGTTTGGTCATTTGCATGTTTCCTTTCATAGTTGTGCTTTACAATTGAAAACTATAATGAAAGAAAATATAAGAGATCAGACTGAGTGTAAATTTTTTAAAAAGTAGTATTTTATAATATGTACTATGTACTATTCTCAGCCATGATTTCTTGACACATTGAATCACATTTGTTTGAATCAATGGTGTGCTATGTTATACATAATTTGTTATTAAAATTTTTTCTTTTTTGTGTTTTTCTCTATTTTTCATTTTTTATTTCTTGGAAAGTTGTGTTCCCTACATTTTTATTAGCATATATTAGCTTATGAAGGGGTTTTGTTGTGAAATTTACAAACATGCATGTGATGTACCTGGATCAAATTCACCCCCTCTACAGTTCCCTCTTATTCCTTCTGACCCCCTTCCTGAAACAATTTCAATAGGTTTTATTGTTCTATTTCATACATGTGTGCAAAGTATTTCAAATGTACTCATCCTCCTCCCTTTCATCCCCTCCTTTTGCCCTTCCCCCTCCTGCTGGAGAGCCTGTTTTGTAAATTTGTTTTTCCTAAAGTCTAAATAATTTATTTTTAATGTTTTAGGACAAATTAAAAATTCAAAGTTAATTACACACCTTCTAGAGTAAATGAAAAAAAGAAAAAACCCTGATAACATAAAAGGTAACCATAATGAAAATTCTACATTGGATAGGTCATTCTTTTCTTAAATAAAATCTTGCACAGGCACATGAGGCTAATTTATATTACCCCTGTGCTCTGGTGCTTTTATTTGTAAGGACATAGTCTAATTCTTTGCTACCTAAACTACAGTCTGTGGACATATGTATGTGTGTATATACATACACATATATACATATATTTGTATATATACACATCGATATAAATATTTGTATGTATATACACATATATATTTGTATATATATGGATGTATGTGTATGTATATATTTTTGATGGTGCTAGGGATCAAACCCAGGGTCTTGTGTATACTAGGCAAGAGCTCTATACTGAGCTACCTCCCTAGCCAACAGATCTACATTGTAATGAAATCCTGAGATGACTCATATGCTCATTAAAGTTTGAAAAGTTCTAGCATAATAAACCTCCTATTATTTAAACTGGCGTGACTTAACTATCCTTAGTTAACTGAAAAGGTAGGAAGTTTTTCTAGTCTATGCCAATTTACTTCAGTAAATCATCCCTAAATCATGTCATCACCTAATTAATTTTTTTCTGTTTTTAACTATGGAGAGAAATGAAAATATAAAGGCACTTGAATGATCTCACCTCTCTTTGTTGCATCTGGGTCTGGGTCTGAATGGGAGCACGAAGCAATGTGTTCATCCCTATTTGGGGCGGGGGAGGGAAAAATTGTAGTCAGAAAAAAATATATGTATCATTACTCATTTTTTCTTAGTTCTTTTGGTAGTTACATGTATTTACTATTTAACTAAGACTTGCCTCAGTTTCCCTAGTGCTGGGATTATAAGCGTGTACCACCACACACAGCTGTCTTTTTTTTCCCTTTAGTGCAAGAAGATTGAACTCAATGCCTTTCGAATTCTAGACAAGTGCACTGTCACTGAGCTGTACTCCTGGTCCCTAATAGCCTTCTTAAAATGATAGAGATAAGTAGTTATTGAATCCTCCATGTGAAAGAAGTATTTTTAGAGTGTAGTGATGACTTTATAATTTTTGTTGCTATTTTTTTGAGGCAGGATATCACTATGTCACTCAGGCTGCCCTCAAACTTCAGGTCTTCCTGCCTCTGCCTCCCAAGTGCTGGGACTGTATAGGCATGGGCTGCCACATTGGGCTTTGGTGGTGATCTGGTCAAGGAGGAAAACTGAAGCTATTATTTATTGTTTTTTACTTCTCTATTTTTATTTCATGGATAGTAGAGGTACATGGTGAAAAATACCAAGTGATGAAAACAAAAGGTTAGGGTAAAACTTTGAAGGGTCTGTAATTCTATGTTAAGGAATCCAGATGTTTCCAGGATGATATACAGGTATTTAATAAAACTAAGTCCATTATAACATATAATGTATTTTATAAAATATGCATTTTAGAAAAGTAATAGAAAACATAATAAGGAAAAGAAAGTAGATTTAAGAGAAAATGAGCTAATGAGGAAGTTACTACAATAATTCAGATAACATGGTAAGAGTTTATGTTGAGCAAGAGACAATAAAAATGGTTAAAAAAAAAGAATTAGTTTCAAGATATTTAAAAATTGAAATAAAAAGGTTTGGATAACAAACCTGACTTTGGAAATAAAGGCAGGATTGGAGATGCTAAACTAAGACAGAAGATACATTTATGCATTATGTATATTTATAGCAACCTTTAGTGAAAATGAAGACATAATTACAGGCTTTTTAGTAAAAAGCTTATTTACATAAGGATTCCAGCCACTTATTCAACAAATATTGTTTCAGACCTACCATGTGCAAAAAACTCTCTCAACTACTTAACAGGCACAAAGAAGAAAACCAAGTTTTGGAATCAAAGAGCTCATAGTTTAATAAGACAACCAAAGTAAATACCTAAAATACAATGTGATAAATTCTGCAATACACTAAAAAATAAAAGGTATTGGGATAGTTACGGAACACAGTGACTACATCCATGGTTTATGTCAGAGAAGGGCTCCATTTAAGCTAGTGCTACTTGAAGTGTGGTAAAAGTCTGTGAACTGCTTGTTACCAATTCATAATGAGGTAAGGAACTTGAAACAAATGTAAATCATATATTCAAGCAGTAGTGTACCTGCTTTTGCAAGTGTGAAGCTCTGGGTTCAAACCCCAACATCAGCAAAAAAAAAAAAA